TCCGCGGAGTGATTGTTTTGATGTTCATTAAATCCTCCGTAGAGGTTGTGACGAGGGCTCCACGTAGGTGTTAACCTCTCCGCGGAATGGGTCGTTAGAAGGGTATTAGCGACGGTTTTTTGTGATATAAATGATTTTTTTATCTATTTGAAAAGTTCAATCAGTTTTAGGGTTGGAAATTTCTTCAAAGAAAATATGAGTTTTGTTATTTTATGTACGAGGGGTTTTTGGCAGATGAGTAATGGAATTAACACCTACGTTAGACCAAAGTTTAACAACTTAGGTTTACTGCTTCCGACTAATTTTGACTATCGAATATTCTTTGATTTGGTTTAAAGTAAGGCTAATACGTTCAATAATAATATATCATTGTCATTTCAACACCCGGTTCATGTGTATGTTATGAATATTGTAGACGAAGCAGATGTTCATCAACTCAGAAATGTAATGTCTGAAACAAAGGAGATTGTGCATTTGTTTTTGGAGGTGTTTGAGGGATGGGTCGAACAGACAGAAGTGGTTGACAAGATTGTACAATACAATGTTGAAAACATTGTATCTGATAATGTTGAAGAGTATCCACAAGAAGAAACTGTGACAGTGAATATGGTGGAAGAATAAAAATTATATGAGTTTGGAAGACTGTGTGACAAAAATTTGTCAGATGATGAAGAATCAAATGAAGGATGGTCAGAAGATGAGTTCACACACGGAAATTACATCAACTTGAACCCTAGTGATTTAGTGAACATTAAATTGCTAGAGATAGGATCGACCAAAATGTTAGATAGTAATTAAAGTAATAAAATTTAGCTGTGCTAGAGAACGTAAATTATGACCATAATTGTGTTTGCATAATCTTACATAGCATATTCATAATCATAACTGGTTCTGTGTTTGATTGTGTGTGACCATACATAGTTTTACATGAATTAGTTGAATATTAGTAAATTTAGACTTAAATTACTAATACAATAACAACCAACATGATAATCCATAATGGTTAGCTAACCATAAAGAAGAAGTGGATTCGAACTAAACAGGAGTGTTTTTAATTATTAATTGAATTTGAGTTAAGTTAGTCTGATCTTGCAAAATCGGATAAAAAACCCACTTAAAGCTTATTAAAAATTAGGTTAATTTAGTAGTAGATAAATTAATTAATACCGTTCCCTGTGATCGACACCCGACTTACCCTACTATTCTATAATTTTGACTAGGTACACTGCCTAGGTGCAATTTAGCTAGTTAAGGTAGTTAGGTTATAAATATTAAAATTAGATGTAGCTATTTGTACGCATCAAGTTTTTGGCACCGTTGCCGGGGAACAGCTTAATTGTTAGTTGATTTATTTGCTTTAGGTTGATCGATACTTTTTGTGGGGTAAAACCTACAAAAAGTTACTTTTTCAGCTTAGGTTTTATTTTCAGTACTAGACTCACGACGTGAGCCTTACGCTCACGACGTGAGTTCAGTAGTTTTTAGTTTTTCTTCGTTTTTCTTTTCTGTTACTTTTCTGCGACAACACGACGTGGTAGCCTTGACCACGTCGTGGTGGACAGTCAGTAAGCAATTTTTATTTAGTTTTTGTTCAGTTTTACGTTTTTATTTTGTTCGTTTTGCAGGAGTTCATGACCAGAGGTTCCAATACACCTTTAGTGTCACCACTTGAAGATCCAGAGCCGACCCTTCATAACAAGAAGGATAAGAACGTGAAAGAAGATCAAACACCAAAGAAGACACCTTTACAAGAACTCAAGTCAGTGTTCTCAAAGAAGTAGGGGAAGAAAACGGGAGAATCGAGCTCATCTACAAAGGACAAGAGCAAGGTTGCAAGTTTAGATCAAATACCTATCCCAAACGAGTCTGAATACGAGTCCGAGAACGAGTTTGGACTATATACAAGCGAACTCGAAGACGAGCCAAGCAACGAAATGGCTAACATTGAAGAAATGTCAATGGGAGCTTACAAGAAGCGTATTCGAGAAGATGTTGGTCCGGGATTAGTACAACCAGCGATACCTGCCGCTGCCGCATTCGAGCTGAAGGGACACATCCTGACTGCACTTAAGGATATCCCATTTTATGGGAAGGATCATGAGGATGCATTTAAGCATCTAGATGAGGTCAACGACATTGCTGACTACTTCAATGTCCCGAATGTCAATAGAGATACCATCTTACTAAAGATGCTACCAGTCACTTTCAAAGGAGCTGCAAAAGACTGGTTGAAAGCACTTCCTCCTGGTACAATCACTACTTGGGCTCAAATGTGTGAGAAATTTCTAGATCAGTTTTGCCCACCTTCCAACATAGCTAAACTCAAGAAGGAAATAGCCAACTTTGAACAACAACCGAGGGAGTCACTATACAAAGCTTGGGAGTGCTACAAGGGGTTGTTAAGGAATTGTCCTCAACATGATATAAATGTTCAACAAGAGATGTCTATTTTCTATGATGGGTTCAATGTTATGACAAGACAACTCCTTGATTCTCAAGGGCCATTGACAAAGAAGAATCCAAGGGAGGTCAAGGAGTTAGTTGAAGAATTCGCAAGACACTCTCGTGAGTACCACAACCCAAGAAAAGATGGAGCAAAAGGCAGTGGAGGTACATATTCTGAAGAGATGGCTGCTATGATGGCGATGCTCAATACTATGGACCAGAGATTGACCCAAATGGACCAATCAATTCATGCAATAAGAGTTAGATGTGAGAAATGTAGTGGGCCACACTTGACTAAGGATTGCCATTTGGATGATTATGGGAATAAGAAGACTCAAGTTTGCTACTCAAGTGGGGACAAGTATGATGATGATTGGAGGACGCCAAAGAAGGAGTGGCTGCCTTATGATGAATACAAGAAACAGAAGGAGGAGAAATACAGGCAGACTGGCCAGGGTTTTTACCAAAAAGAGCAACCACCAGCTGAGAAGAAAGCTGATTTGGAGACTATGTTGGTTCGTTTCATGGAAGCTTCAGAGAAGAGACATGATGATACTGATGCAGCATTGAAGGATCAAAGAACAATGATGAAAGAATAGCAGACCTTGATGAAAAATCATCAAGCCATGATGATTGACCAGCAAAACTCACTGAGAAATCAGCAAGCCTCCATCAATAACCTTGAAGCTCAACTTGGCCAACTTACAACATTGGTGAATGAGAAGCTATTTCCTCAAATTCCTGAAAAGAAGACTCAATCCCATGTTATGGCGATTGATACTGAAGAGGAAGCAATCTCTGAGTTTTTAGAAGCCCTAGAAGTGGAGCAAAAGCCATCCGGACCAAAGCCAAAGAAGACTAAGCTCGAAAACGAAAATGTTGCTGAATTACCAGACTCACGTCGTGAGCCCGCCATGCTCACGACGTGGGCTCGTTCTGAACAGAAAAAATCAGATTCCGTACCGGCATACCGTCCACCTTTGTCGTTTCCATCTCGAGCACATCTCAGTCCACTGGAAAGGGAACATCTGGAATTTATTCAGCAAATAAAGGGTATTCCTATTAATACCCCTTTTATCGATTCACTTTAAAAAATTCCAGAATACGCAAAGTTCCTACAAGATCTTATGGACACTCGTCAACAATTAAAGAAGAACTCTAAAGTAATTCTTAGTGAACAAAGTTCAAGAGTGGTATTGGGAGACATACCTAAGAAGATGGGAGATCCTGGACGCCTCACTCTTCCATGTGAGTTTGGAAATAACTTGAAGATTTATGCTTTAGCCGATTCTGGGGCTAGCATAAATTTGATGCCATATTCATTTTATCAAAAGCTGAATATTCAGAAAATGAAGGGTACAAAGATGACCATCCACATGGCCAATCATTCGGTGACTCACCCGAGGGGAATTGTAGAAGACATCCTTGTTAAAATTGGGAAATTTGTTTTCCCAGTTGACTTTGTGATTATGGATATGAAGGAGGATGTGAATGTCCCAATTATTCTTGGTCGCCCTCTACTTAATACTGCTAGAGCTTTAGTTGATGTTCGTGAATCGAAGCTTGCATTGAGGGTTGGTGATGATGAGGAGACATTTGGAATACAAGAAGGTTTTCAAGGAGAAGATGTAAAAGGTGAGGTGTTCAATATGGATAAAGATAATGATCTTGAAGAATTGGAGAAGCTAATGGAGGAAGAAATCAAGACAATTCATCAAGTAAAACACACCAAACCAAGAGCATCCGTCCCGTTCTTCGTTGAAGTCATTACCTACACAAGACCAACAACTTTGATAAGTGAGGAAAGAGATGATTTGTCGAGTGATGAAGACGAGGTTATCTCAAAGGAAATGATTCCAGTGGTGAAAGAAGAGAAGGTTCCTATTGAGCTAAAGAAGAATGAAGAAAGATTAGAAACAAAAGGGACCAAAAGGAAGCTTGATATAGACGAGGCGAAGACTAAAAAGGAAAATTCGAAAAAGACGTACATTCGACGTGTGCAAGCATACAAAAGGCGATGGAAGGAGCATAAAATCCAGCTGGTGATGGACTCCTCTTACAACTCAACGTAGGAGGCACGGAGTCCGGCTCATGACTCCTCAAAAAGAAGCGCTTGCAGGAGGCAACCTGTGGTTTTGAGTTTGCATTTTCTTTCCTTTTCTTTTATTTTCCTTTTATTTGATTTGTTTAGATTTTTTTTATTTATTCTCTCATTCTTCTGATTTGTCTATGAATTCGAGATGGGGTATGGCATAAAACGAGTGTGGGGTGAGTTTTTTTTTTTAGAATTTTCAAAATAAGGAAAAATTATAACCCACCACGAGGTGGTGATTTTGAACAAAAGAATTCATATCGTGAAAAACCTCGACACCACGAGGTGGTGGGTTTTCCACCTCGTGGCAATAAAAATAACTGCTGTCAATTTTAGGGTTTTTTAAACTAAGTCAAATTATTTTCACTTTTCACCACCCCCTCTTTCTCTCGTCGTGCCAGTCGCCTCCCACGAAGAACTCAACTTATTCCACTCGATTTCATGCATTTCTTCTCCAAAAGAAATGGCTAGCAGGTCAAGGAGAAACCAACCCGGAACTTGTCCTGAGTTTCCATGGTACTCTTTCCTACGAGATGTTGCACCCGCGGTACGCGCACGTTGGACTGCAAAGCTAGAGTTACTGAGGAAACGACGAGTGCATGTTCCAGCCGTAGTTGATTGGTATTGGATTGGTCAATCGGGTTTGATGGATGCCGTGGAATCTTATTTTGACAAGTTGTTTAATGGAGTTGATGGCAAATTCATGTGCTTAGGGTGGAGACGGATCTTTGAAATCCAAGAGGTGGTTTATATAGAATCGGTTCATGAGTTTCTGGCCACAGTTTCTTTTGCAAAAACAGATGGGATATATGCCGATGATAACCTTACTTTTTGCATTAGTGGTGAAAGGCGATCCCTTAGCCTTGCCGACTTTGCACTCCGGACCGGCATTTACCTTCAATCCGAGGTCCATACACAATTATATCAGCAGTTCATAGCAGCTTCGATAAGAAACATTGATGGGTTTAAGGCAGAAGACCATTGGCATGCTATAGCTAATGGAGTTTATCACAAAGGTACTGCGCAAGAACGCGACATCCGGTCGCCAATTCACCGCTTGTTGCACCGCTTGATCACAAATATCATCAATGAGCGTCAGGAGGGGGATAAATGCCCCACTGTTGATGTTTTCTTTTTGTGGGTCCTTACTTCCAATGACGTTTATGCTGATCTACCCTTTCATTTGGCCAAGTTCCTTCCAGTCCGGGCAGCCAAGGACAAGCGCGGGTCCCCGCTCTATGGTGGAATGTTGATTACCAGACTTGCACGTTCTTTCGGTGTTTTTGAGAAGCGGGAAGCTGCCATGCTAACCGTGGAGCCCCAGAAGCCCTTTACCACTCTTCTCTATAAGAGGGCTCGTATTGTAATTGATCATGGCGCAGGAGGTTTTAGCATTCCAGAGGACACTCCACGGCAACGGGTTCCGAGCCGTGGACGGCAAAGGGGTAATGAAGCTGGAGCGGATGAGCCACCAGTGATACCAGAAGTGGATGAGATGCCAATGGACCCATATAATGTTGCAAGGAGGCGATATGAGGATTACATGTCAAGAGCTGCAAACTATACGAATTTGAGCCTTGATCATTTGATGAGCCAGATGTGTATGACTCGCCCAGAGCATTTCCGTTCGTCGTACCCGCCTGTTCCAACTTGGGAGGAGCTATGGAGAGAGCAATTGGGTGGTGCTGGAGGCAATGGTGTTGGTGATGATGATGATGAGGAATGAGTTTTATCCTTTTGTTTGGTGTTTTTAGACTAAGTTTTTTTATGGTTTTCTTTGGTTTGTTTTGTGGTTTTTGAACAATTTGGTGGATGTTTGGTTTTTTACAATGTGTTTCCTACTTTTATTACCTTTTTCTTTGTCTTAGTTCCAAGTTATATTATCGAGTCCGATTAAGGGTAAATTTGGCACAAGAGTGTTCGTTGTAGTGAAGGCTTAGATTACGTCGAGAGAAGCACGATTTGAGAAACGTTTTTGCGGGTGTTTAATTGCGTCATAGAGTGAAGGGTCATGTCCTATAACTTTATGCATGAGTTGGTGTCACATTTAGTTCGCGTATCAGTTCAAATCGACAGCAGAATATCAGTTTTTGGCACCACCACGACGTGGTAATCTACACCACGCCGTGTTGTCGCAGTATTAAATCAAAAAAAGTGTTAGGTTACCTTTACCACATCGTGGAGAAATTTACCGCGACGTGGTGCCTTTCGAGTCGGTTTTCGAGCCCGATCTCATACTTCCAGTAATCTCCGTGTTACGAGTAGCGTTATATTCATTCTCATGGTATGGATGAGTTGTTCCCATGCCATAGAATTTTATTTTCACGCATTAATGAAGAACTATCCCGGATGCCACGAGATGGTTCACACTTTCCCTTGACGTGGGGAGTTTTTCAAAGCATAAGGAGGCTGCCATGTTCTTTTCCACTTCCGTGTCCACACATTCGCGCAAGCTACAAGTCCTTTCCATCAGTCGAGTTTCAACTTCTATCCCAGGGGAGTTTGTTCCTTTTTCTCCCTCTTTTAATTTTATGTTTTACATACTATGCAATGAGGGCATTGCATAAAATAAGTGTGGGGTAGGGGGTTGATTATATTAGTGAATTTAGAATCTTAATTTTAGGCATAATATTAAAAATTTTGCGTAAATTTGCTAGGATTAACTTAGAAAATTTTGGTAAAGCAATTAGGCTTTATGCTAGTATTATGTTTGATGATTCTATGAAGACCCAAATGTTTAGTTGAGCCTATATACGTTCTAGTGCATTTGTGGCCTCCCTTATCTTAGTGAAATCATGGGACAAAAAATACAACCTCGCTTAGTTTAAGGAATGCAATATGTTTAGCAGCCTAAACCTGAAATGTATCCAGGAAAGCTTAAGTAGTCATTGCACATTAGACTAATACCTTAACCAATAAAGGTTGAAGTGGAGCGCCCTTGCTTAAGCATGTAGGATATGAGTGAAAAAAAGAGTGAGATACATGTAAAAAAAAGAGAGAATTACAAGAAAAAGTTGTAAGAATTTTGGAGCTAATAAAGTAAAAGTTTGAAGATTCAAATATCAAAACTCTGAAGAAATTCCAAAAGTTGAAGATACCTAAAAATCAAACAAGAAGGTGGTGAATTCAAACAAATCAAAGATCAATTTGTCAAGAAGTGAAGAATTCCAAAGAGCTCCAATGTGGTATCAAAAGTTGTAATTTTCTAGATTATGTATGCTTGGGTTGCTTGACCAAAAATACCTTGAGGATAGAAGGTTTTCTGAGGATGGATTCGGAGGGTTGCATAAAATGAGCATTGTTCAAAAGAAGTGGGCGAGTGTTTATGAGGATTGTAAGTATTTAGGATAGGGGGGTCTTTAGGAAAAATTTTAGACACAAATGCATGCGTTGCGGTCTTGGCATAATGGCTGGGTTCGATTAGGATTGTCTTATGTGGTATTGGTATGCTAAAATTCAGTTTTGCTTGAGGGCAAGCAAAAGTCAAGTGTGGGGTATTTTGATATGTGCATATTTATACAACATACATTAATATTTTTATTACTTTTATGCCGTTATTTGAACAAAAGATACTTAATTTGATATTAATTGTGTTGTAGGGACCAATAGACATGCTTGGAGCAAAAAGGAAGCTGGAAGTTGGATTAAGGAAGCTGGAAGATGGAAGTTTGAACCAAAGTTCCAAAAATGAAGAAAAATATGCCCAACACGTCGTGGTGATCCTACCACGGCGTGGTGACTTAAAGAATCCCGATCAACTTCGAAGACTTGGAGATCACAAGATAAGCACGATGACCACGACGTGGTGATCCTACCACGACGTGGTGCCCTGATTTCGGAAAAAGTATAAATAGTTTACATAAACCTCCGAATTGAAGACTTTTGGGTGGATAGAAGGCAGTCCTAGAGACGATTTTGAGAGGAGAAGAAGTTCTGGAAGAGGCTTTTATCACCTAAGGGGAGAAAAGTAAATCAATAGTTTATTTGTTTGGTACATTCATTATGACTTCTATTATGATTTGTGTTTGTTTATCTCTTGCTATGAGCAGCTGAATCTAGCTACTCTTGTTTAGCTAGATGAAGCTTCTGACTTATGGTTTAGCTTATTGATAATGGGTTTGCTTAGTTGGTAATTTGCTTGTGTTGATTATTATTACCTACCATTTTAATATTTGTTTCTTTAGTTGCTTGAATTCATGTTCTGTGTAGCTTAGTGATTATTAAATTACATGAACTTGAACCCTAGTGATTTAGTGAACATTAAATTGCTAGAGATAGGATCGACCAAAATGTTAGATAGTAATTAAAGTAATTAAATTTAGCTGTGCTAGAGAACGTAAATTATGACCATAATTGTGTTTGCATAATCTTACATAGCATATTCATAATCATAACTGGTTCTGTGTTTGATTGTATGTGACCATACATAGTTTACATGAATTAGTTGAATATTAGTAAATTTAGACTTAAATTACTAATAAAATAACAACCAACATGATAATCCATAATGGTTAGCTAACCATAAAGAAAAAGTGGATTCGAACTAAACAGGAGTGTTTTTAATTATTAATTGAATTTGAGTTAAGTTAGTCTGATCTTGCAAAATCGGATAAAAAACCCACTTAAATCTTATTAAAAATTAGGTTAATTTAGTAGTAGATAAATTAATTAATACCGTTCCCTGTGATCGACACCCGACTTACCCTACTATTCTATAATTTTGACTAGGTACACTGCCTAGGTGCAATTTAGCTAGTTAAGGTAGTTAGGTTATAAATATTAAAATTAGGTGTAGCTATTTGTACGCATCAGTGGCTTATATACAAACAAATTTTGAAGATTGTTTTGAGTGTTGTTTTTATGCCATTGGGAGCACGGTAAATACAAAAAACATGTTGTTATTTAATATATACGTATTTGTAAAAAAAATGTAGAGTGTTTATGTGTTCCATACAAATATATTGTAGATACGAGCGTTCAAATGTTTTTGTCGTAAAGTGATAATTATGGATGGTGCCCATTTGAAATGGGATTTTAAGGGAACCATATTGCATGCAATAGCTATGGATGGGAACAACCAGATAGTGCCCCTTGCGCACGAAATATGCAAAAAAGAGAGTGGTCTTACTTGGACATGGATTCTTGAATAGATGTATGAATGTGTTGGTGATTGTCAAGATTTGACCTTTGTAACTGATAGGGCCGATGCAATTCGGGTTAGTATTGAAAATGTTTTCCCAAACGCTCATCATGGCGTGTGTGCTTTTCATCTACTAGGAAACATAGTACACCGGTTTGGGAAAAATGATAAAACAACAGTCTTGTTTTGGAGGCTTGTGAGAGCTTAGAAAAAGAAATGTATTTGAAGATTTGTGGTATAGATTTAGTTCCACTAGGCCGCTAGTAGCGGCGTACCTAAGTGAAATTCCACGTGCTAAATGGACTAGAGTATATTCCCCGTCGAAACAGTATGATTACATGACCTCCAACAGTGCAAAGTCCATGAATGCTGTCACACCCCCAAACCAGAATGGCGGAAACATTCGGAGGTGGGTGACTTCACGTAGTATCATAACAGTTGAATATTTGTAAAGAAAGTAAACCCAACCATCATAAATATAATAAAAAGTTACATTGTTGCATGTAATACATGTTTCAAAAGAATATTACAAATATGATGATTTAAAATGTTTTGATGGCTGATGCCTTAGCGTTCCTTCTCCAAAAGCTGATGTTTACCTGTATTACTGATTTCCTGAGAAATACAAATAGTTTTGAAAAAGTGTCAACAATTAAGTTGGTGAGTTCATAAGCGTTTTTGTACTAAAATTTGTATGTCTTTCGGTAAAAATAACTGAACGTCTTTTCCAGAAAATCCAATATTTTCTATGTATGTGTGATAGTTTGAAAAAGTTCCAAAGGCTGGAATGCAATAGTATCTTTCATGCTAAAATGGTGAAAGTGGATTTATACATATATAATGTAATTACTGAATGCATTTAAGAGTCTCGTAAATCAGAATATTTCGATACTCCATGTGAGTTTTATAACCATGCTATTGACCCAGACTGCCTGTAACAACGTTCTTCAGGCGTTGCAGTGTTATGACG